AGGATGCTATGCTACATGTTCCTGGCAATCTTACTGAGCTGTCAGCAGCCGACCTGGGATTTGCCAGCTCGGTGCCAGGTGAGCAGTGGCTCGTCATGGGCCTCAACACCTAGGATAAACGACACAGCATGATAAACAACCTAGCAAAGGGGGGCAGCCAAACTGCTGACCCGGCAGTAGTTCAACCAGCGCAACCTGACCCGAACCTGCACGCAAGGGGGCCCCAACAAGAACCCAACCACCGGCTGTCCCCAACCCCCGGGAGCACGAGCCCAACTGTTCCCACTCACGTGCACCTGCTCGCACCCCGGTTCACACCCCTGACCCAACTGCCCGTGCTGCCCCAACTGCCCACTCCATCCCAACCGCCCACTGCTGCCCACGGATCGCACGTGCCCATAATATATCGTGACAGGAAGCCTTACTTGGCTGGGGTTGTCCAGGCTGCCGCCATGCCAGGCCGTCGGTGGGTTCGAGATAAGGCAGCACCCATGTCTAGATGGTCCAGGCACGGTGAGGGACCTGCTAGTCTACACTGGTTTCGCCCGTGTTGGGAAGGGTGCAAGCCCAGGCTGCCCATTAGGCTGCAGGGTCTGGTGTTCTGCTGATGCTCCTTGGCTGTGTACTGTCTGGGCCGCGTGGCAGGCATAGTGCCTGTCCCCAAGCTGCCGGCAGCACATGGTGGCAGAAGCTTGCACTGTAACCCTGGTGGCATCTTCTGCTCATCTGCCTCATCACAGCACATTCAGCAGGCGCCATTTTGGGGCGAGCCATTGTGCTGCACAGCTGGGAGGTTTGGGTGTTCCGTGGGTGCTGGGGGAACTGAATGGCAGGTCGCTCAATAGAAAGACACATCACAGTTTGGGCAAAGATTAAGCCTTGCAAATGTGCTTCCAACTTTTGGCGCACCAGGAACACCCCGTCAACCAACCCAATCATGATTTGGGCCTCATTCACATGCAACCCTGTGCAAAGTAACCGGCACGCATAGCAGTGCCCACTTGTAGGCACGCTAACATCCTGACAAGTTGCTGTTCCAGTCACACAGCGCCAGCCTTCACACACACAGAGCCGGCATGGCCAGTTGCTCAGGAGTTGGCCGTCGCTAAACATGTAACAGGCACGGCGACATGCCACAAACCCTAGCAAAACCTGACCCCCGGGACACCCTGCACACTCCATGTCTGGTTACACGTCAGGGTGTGACAGGCTGCCCATACACTGCACAGGCCACCACAGGCCCCTCACATCTCAATGAATGCCGCACCCAGGCGGGAGCAGGCGGAAAGCTGGCAGGCGGCTGTGGCAGGCCATGCTGCCTGTGGGGATGCGAGGGAGGCAGGAAGGGCAATTTCGGCAGGTCAGGACGCGATGGGCAGGGCGGCTGCAGGCGCCCAGGTAGCAGTAGGCGCCCGGTAGGTGTGCAGGCCTCAAACTCGAACCACCGAATCTAATCTCTCCACCCCGCCTTTTGGACCCGCCCAGCCAGACCCTCTCAGCAGCTCACCGTCTAATGCTTATTCCAGTAA